GGTCTTGGGGCCGTCTTGAGGTCTTAAGGGCCTCTTGGGCTCCTCTTGGGGCATTCTTGGGCCATCTTGGGGCCATCTGGACGCCTCAAACGCGCGTCGGAAGAGGATCATAATTGTTCCTTCGGTTTTTGGAAGATTTTGGCCTCTTGGATATTGGAGGGGTCCTGAGGGGTCTCCGAGAGCACTTGAAACAGTCATGTGGCCATCTTGGGGCCTCTTGGAGGCATGACGTAGGTTATATTGAGCTATCTAGCTATCTTGCGTTACCTTGAGCCATCTTGGAGGCCATCTTGAAGCTTCGGAGGCCCTCTTGGAGCCATCTTGGGCGAAAACGGACCCTCTGACACCTTGCGACCCCCCCCCCCGACAAAAAAAAGGGAGGGGGGGGGGGGGGGGAAAGCAAGACGTTGTTAGACGTTCGACCGTCTGTTGCCGAAAGGGCTGGCGGGACTGCCAGACAATCGATGTCGAGATCCCCGCGTGCCAGCGAACGCATGGTCGAGATCCTTTCGCACGTGAGAAAATGCCGACGAGATCTTAGCGCGCGCGGGATAATCTCGTCGAGGTGAGCGAAGAACAACGGTGATATTCGTGCATGCCTACTGTCGTGCGCAATGAACATGTTGGGATCCTTTCGAAGTTATGCGTTGCGGAGGACGCTTTTTGTGGCATTCCTGAGTTGACATAAACTTGGCACAAACCCCTGCGTTATTATAAGATCATGGTATGTAACACGCAAAGCCAGCCATCGTAGTCTCAGGTATAGGGTCCGTCGGGCGGTATACGGCCCCCGGGCGGTATACGGCACCCGGGCGGTATACGGCCCCCGGGCGGTGATTTTGGGCATATTTTAATGATTTTCAGTGTTTTTGTTTGTGATTTTGGCCATATTTTAATGATTTCTATTGTTTTTTTAACCAGTTTTGGGTAGTAATGGTCCCGGGAGGTCCCGTTTGGCATGGTGTCGGGCCTTCGAAAACCCGCCCCGGGAGGTCCCGTTTGGCATGGTGTCGGGCCCCGTCCGCGGCGGATGGTCTCTGGTGGGGAATCGGGGCCAGATTCTCCACGGGAGACCCCCCGCCGCGGACAGGGTCCGTCGGGCATATTTTAGTGATTTTCAGTGTTTTTTTTTTTTTTTTTTTTTTTTTTTTTTTTTTTTTTTTTTTTTTTTTTTTTTTTTTTTTTTTTTTTTTTTTTTTTTTTACTTTTTTTTACTTTTTTTTTACGTTGTTTTGGGCATATTTTAGTGATTTTCAGTTTTTTTTTGGGGGGGTGATATTTTAATGATTTCCATAGTTTTCAAGTGATTTTGGGCATATTTTAGTGATTTTAGTTTTTTTTTTTTTTTGTTTGTTTGTGATTTTGGGTATATTTTAATGATTTCGAGTGTTTTTTTGTAGTTTCGGCCCGCCGCGGACAGGGTCCGTCGGGGGGCTCCCCGAGAGCTCCGTCCGCGGCGGATGCTTTCCCGTGGGGAATCTGGGCCAGATTCTCCATGGGAAAGCCTCCGCCGCGGACAGGCCCCGTTGGAGGGCTCCCCGAGAGCTCCGTCCGCGGCGGATGATCTCCCGTAGGGAATCGGGGCCAGATTCTCCACCACGGGAGACCACGCGCCGCGGACAGGGTCCGTCGGGGACGCCGGCCGGCGCCGTAAAATTGAATTCAGAACCGATATGGAAAATATCGACTCCAAGACACATTTTTCTTCCAAAAGTATTGATTTTCTGCTACCGGCGCCCGATTCCGGCACCCGACTGGCGCTCTAGCCGGACCCCGGGCCGGCGCCGGGGCCAGCGCCCGGGCCGGTTCCGGCGCGGGCCGGCACTAGAAAGTTGAATTCCGAGCGATGCCGAACAAAAGTCAACTCCAATTCACATTTTTCCTTCAAAATACGGATTTTCTGCTCTGCTCCCATCACCCAGGAACCCTTCCAAGCAGATTCCGGCACCCAAGCCGGCGCTCGAGCCGGACACCAAAGTCGGCGCCCGGGCCGGCGCCCGGGCCGGTTTCGGCGCCGGCTGGTACCGAAAAATTGAATTCCGAGGCGGACCGAAAAAAAAACCACTCCAAAACACATTTTTCTTTCAAAAATATTGATTTTTTGATCCCGCACCTAGGAATTAATTCTTCTGGGCCGATTCCGGCACACGAGCCTGCGCTCGAGCCGGACGCCTGGGTCGGCGCCCGGGCCGGCGCCAGAGCCGGTTCCGGCGCCGACCGGCGCCAGAAAATTGAATTCCGAGATAACGTCGAAAAGAGGCCACCCTAGAACACATTTTTCTTTTAAAAATATTGAATTTCTGCGATCAGCGCCCGGGAGCCCTTCCAGGCCGATTCGAACACTTGGGTCAGCGCTCGGGAGATCCCGTTTGGCATGATGTCGGGCTCATGGGCGCTTCTTGCCAATGGTCCCGTTTGGCATGGTGTCGGGCCCATGGAGGCCCCTCCCGGAGATATCGTTTGGCATGATGTCACGAACACGCCCCGAAAATTTGGTCCCGGGAGGTCCCGTTTCGCATGGTTTCGGGCCCCCTAGACCCGCCCCGGGAGATTCCGTTTGGCATGGTTTCACGATCACACCCCGAAAATTTGGTCCCGGGAGGTTCCGTTTGGCATGGTGTCGGGCCCCCTAGACCCGCCCCGGGAGATTCCGTTTGGCATGGTGTCGGGCCTATGAGGGCCTCTCCCGGAGATATCGTTTGGCATGATGTCACGGATCACGCCCCGAAAATTGGTTCCCGGGAGATCCCGTTTCGCATGGCGTCGTGCCCCCTAGACCCACCCCGGGAGATTCCGTTTGGCATGGTGTCGAGCCATCGAACCCGCCCCGGGAATTCCGTTGGGCATAGTGTCACGAATAACGTCCCGAAAATTTGGTCACAGGGCCCATTGGGGGGTTCCCAGAAAACCCCGTCCGCGACGGATGCTCTCCCGTGGGGAATCTGGGCCAGATTCTCCACGGAAAACCACCCGCCGCGGACAGATCATTTGGGGAGGTTCCTAGCGGATCTCAGGCAGAATAGAGGCGTCACAGGCGTCATCGGGCGTCAGCCGAATAAAGGCGTCAGAGGAATAGAGGCGTCACCGGCGTCATCGGTCTTCAGGCGAATAGAGGCGTCAGGCAGAATAGAGGCGTCAGGAGCGTCAGCGGGCGTCAGCCGAATAGAGGCGTCAGCCAGAATAGAGGCGTCACAGGCGTCATCGGGCGTCAGCCGAATAAAGGCGTCAGAGGAATAGAGGCGTCACGGGCGTCATCGGTCTTCAGGCGAATAGAGGCGTCAGGCAGAATAGAGGCGTCAGGAGCGTCAGCGGGCGTCAGCCGAACAGAGGCGTCAGACCGACTAAAGGCGTCACGGGTGTCAGCGATCGTCTGGCCCATAGGAACGACAGGGCAAATACGGCGCCGAGCGAATAAAGGCGTCAGACGAATAGAGGCGTCAGAGGCGTCATCGGGCGTCAGGCCAATAGAGGCGTCAGCCAGAATAGAGGCGTCACAGGCGTCATCGAGCGTCAGGCGAATAGAGTCTTCAAATAGAGTCTTCAAAACAATAGAGTCTTCAAATCGAGTCTTCATCTTCAGGCCGAATGGGGAACCCACCGGGCCACCCCCCTGTATATATATATATATATATATATATATATATTCACTCGCGCGCAAACTCATTCATTCCCAGACTCACTCGCTCTCAGATTAACCCGCGCTCAGTCCCTCGTAATTCGACCTATCGTCTTCGTTCGGTTTGTGTGCCCCGCGACGCAATTCGACACGCCCCTCGTGCGGCTTGTGGATTCGTGGCCCCATGGGGAACGCCGCCGAAGAATATATGTTAAATTGCTATGCTCACAACTGCATGTGTTTGGGCCCTTCGCCCGGATTGTTTCAAAAACCATAAAAGAATAAAGTGATAATCGTTCTGCCAACATCCGCCTGTGGGGGGACGCGCCCGACCTCGCCGTGGCCCGCGCGGTGGCCCCCAGGCTGGCCCCCCGCCGGCTCCGCTGGGCGGCGCACAGCTCCGTCGAGCACGCGCGGCCAACCAACGCACGCGGGGCGTTCCAGACATGACCGCGCCTTCGCGGGATCGACGCCCAGACATGATCGCGTCGTGAAGAATCAGGACGCGAGGGTTTCGGCCAACTTCGGCTTCGAGGGGCCTTCACGGGGCCTCGGGACCGTCAAAGAAACAGGCAGGACGAAGAGCCGGTCTCGGGCAACGGGTCGGGACTTCCAGGGGCTCCGCATTGACAAAATTAAGACGTCGCATGTATGGGAATAGCCATCGTTTCCTTATTCATTGTTTTGCCGATCGGCGCGGGTCTCCGCACCTTCCCCACCCCCCTGTGGAGTAGATCTTGGCTGTTCTTTCTCGCCCGTTTCGAGCAGGTAAAGTCTCCCTCGCAGGACGCACTGTTTGCAAACAGTCGCACTGAGCAGAGGTCCAGAGCCGGACCCCCCTTCCGCCCAATGTCGAAACACCGAACAAGAGAACGTTCACCTCGTGGCCCAGGATGGGTTGGCCATTGGCGGTGGATATGTGTAGGTCTAGGTCGACACGTCCCTTTTACAGGAGGGATATTCCAACATAGAAAGAATTGTAATGTTTTTGGTATGTCTGAAAATGCTTGAATTATTTTTGGGCTATATTTTTTCCGTCCAAAATCCCCCTGCAGGGGGACATGCCCGACATAAGTGTAGGTCTCGTCGCTTCAGCAAATACGTTGGCGTCTCTTCTTCGGCGGAAGGCGGCGGCGCAAGCGGGCGGGATCAACGCGAGGCCCCGGGCTCCTCTGGGCGCACATGGGCCAGCCTCCAGCCGGCACGTGCGATACGTTGGGGGGCACCGTTAAGGAGTGTGCTCAGCAGGCTTCAGACCCTGGGGGCTTCCTAATCTGACGAGGGCAGTGGCGATATCCACGGCCAAGTCTCCACAGGTGTTCCACCGGCTTCCAGACCCTGGGTTCCTCACCCAAGGGTTCTTTATCGAATTCCTTCACCGTGAGACACCGACCAGCCTGCAGGTGCAGCTTCTTACCGCCCCAAGGCCTCAGGGGCCCACAGGAGCTATGGGGACCCTCAGGGATCGACGCGGAGCGTTCCATAGTAATTTTGGCTCCAGGGATTTGGGTCTCAGGACCTTGGGCCCAAGCCCCGCGGACACCCGCGTCTTGGTATCGTACATCTATACTGTCGCCGCTGCACCGCATGGCGCGGCTGCCGCGCGCACCGCTACGACTGCTGGCGGCGGCGGCGGCGGCATTCTTAGCCGCCTCCTGCGAAGCGCTGGCGGCCGCGCCGTCGGGGCGCTCGGCGCAGGCGTCGGCGGGCGCTGCTCCAGTGGCGATCCTGGTATCCGGCATGCTGGACCGGCTGCTCGTGACCCCGCTGCTGGAGAACCTCGTGCGCGCCAACGTTGACGCAGGCACCCCGGTGGACATCTTCTTTGGGATGAAGCCGCAGATGGACGGGCAGAATTTCGCGTCCAACAAGGGGGACAGCAAGTGGCTGGTGGGGGAGGCTGCGTCGCAGAAGTACGTGAGGGACCCGAGGATGACCAGACTGCGCGCCACGAACGTTTCCAACAGGGAGCTCTTCAGGCGGCTCTGCGAGTGGTCCCTCGAGGCGGGCGCGGGCAGGTGTGTGACGGAGGAGGAGACGGAAACGCCGCTCGAGCTGCCCGACGACCAAGCGCACCAGAGCATCATGTCCTACTACAGTCCAATCTCGACGGAAACGGGCCAGAACGTCCTCAGAAGGTGGCGTACCATCGAGGGGCTCCTGAGCAAGGCGAAGGAGGCGGAGCTGGCACACGGCTTCCGGTACAACTCGGTGCTGATCGTGCGCGACGACAATTATTGGTTGACCCCGTACATATTCGACACGATGGAGTTCGAGGCTCGCCCCTCCACACTGAGGTCTACCTCCTGCTTGGAAGCGCATGGCATCAACGACAAGGTTATCCACCTGGGTCGGGACGCCGTTGATCGGGTTGGGGCCGTCTACCAAGCTTGGAAGCAGGTGCCCCACGACGCGCTCAGGGACAGCCGTAACGCCGAGGAGTTCTTGTTTAAGCTGGCGATGTTGGAGGGCGTCGGGATCAGGCCGACCGGCTTCAGGTACGCCCTTGGGACCATGACGGAGAGCGGGATCCCCTGCTACCGCAAGCAGTCTTACAACCTAGCCGACAAGGGCGGCTACCACAAGTGCCACGACGAGGCCACCGAGGACGGTCCTGTCACGAAGCTGTTCAGGGCCTTCAGCTGCGACACCATGAACCCAGTCTTTTTCGATGCGCTGAGCAGCGACGAGGTTGCCGTGCTCAGGGATACTATCCTCGAGGCGTCAGGGAGGACCCAGAACGTTTCTGTCGTGCTCACCATCGCCGACCTCGCCAGCATCGACGAGGCCGTCATGACGTTGGCCAGCTTGTTGTCGGCCGACCCGTCCGCGAGGGCCGTCGTGGTGACCCGCCCGCAGGGCTGCGAGAGGATCAGGCGCGCGGCCAGCAATTCCGCGTGCGTTGAGTTGCCTCGGGTACTCGACGACCAGAGGGTCAAGGTCGCTTTGCTCACTACGGCCGTTTTCAGCGGTGCGGCTGGCGGCATTCTCTTCGCGGAGCCCGGGGTCGAGTTCCAGAAGGACCCTATAGCAGCGTTCACAGGGGTCAGTGGTGGTCACGATGTCGTCTTCGCCCCGAGGCAGTCCGCGCAGTGTGATGCGAAGGCCCCCGGCGCCGACGCCACCGGCAGCCTGTTCTACGTGAAGAGCACACCCGGAGGGTCGCACGCGCTCATGCGGGCGTGGATGTTCCTGGCCGAGGATCGGGCGACGAGATCTATACCTATCCACTGCTCTGAAGGAAGTCGATTAATAGAGAGGAAGCATGCTGCCAAGTAATCTCCAGATGTCTAACACATGTGTCAGACATGTTTTAATGTGTGAAAACACGTTTGAAACATGTTTAGAACATGTCTTACACATTGTAAGCGCAGTTTCAATTCAGTGATAGGATTGTCAGAGTGTCCACTGTCATGGCATTCACAACGCCGCTCCCTGCTCCCTGGCCAGGCCCGGCCCGAGCCCAGGAGCTGTGCACATCGCCCTCCTGGCCGGGCCTCGAGAGGGCGTGGCGCCCATGTGCCGCTGCGGGGCCCAGGCCGGGCCTGGCCGCGGAGCAGTGGACAGGTATAGATTCAAGTAGGGCCCATCCCTCTACAGGAGGAATAATCAAAAATAGTTAAAGCATAGTTTTGGGACTATTTTTTGATTTCTTGTCCATTTTGGCGCATTTTTTGAGTATTTCTTATCCTTCGTCCCAAATCCCCCTGTAGGGGGACGCGCCCGACTTCAGTATAGAACTCGCCGCTCTGGAGGGGAAGCTGCCGGGAGGCTACTACGCGGGCGAGCGGGTCGTCTCGGGCACCAGCTCCGCGCGGCCAGGCCTGCCTCTGAGCGCGGGCGCTGCCGGCGCCGTGCGGGGCCGCTCGCGGAAGGACCCGGCGCGGGTCGTCGTCGACTTCGACGGCTGGGCCCCGGGGTCCGGCCTCGCGCTGCTGCCGGCGCAGCTCTCGCCGAGCCGCTCCGGGCCGCTGCTCGCGCGCGCCGTGGCGGCCTCCACGGGCGTGCGGGGGGCGGCGACGGCGTGCGGCCGGGCGGGCTGGGCGCGGCTGCCCGAGGAGGAGTGAGGCCTGCGGACGGCTCCTCCTCCTGCTCCTGCTCCTGCTCCTGCTCCTTCTCCTCCTCCCCCTCCTCCTCCTCCTCCTCCTCCTCCTCCTCCTCCTCCTCCTCCTCTCCTCCTCCTCTCCTCCTCCTCTCCTCTCCTCCCCTCCTCCCTCCTCCTCCTCCTCCTCCTCCTGCTCTTCCTCCTCCTCCACCGAATTCGGCCCCTTCTTCTGCACAGGCCCACGCCCACCGGGCCGCCGGTCGGGTTCTTCGGAGCGCTGGCTTCGGCGGCCGCCCAGCTGGGCCAGCGGCCCGTCTCCTGAGGTACAGAGGCTACAGTCGGGCCGAGGTATATGAGATTCAAGTGCAGGGGGAAATTCAAAAAATAGTCCATAAATAGTCTGGGGACGATCTCTGGATTATTTATCGCCATTTCGAAGTATTTTTGAATATTTTTATGCTTCGTCTAGAATCCGTCTGACATGCCCGACTTAACATGAGATCGAGGTCGGTTCGGGGAGGGTATCTTGATGTTCTTAGGATCGCTTTTGTACTCATTGTTTTGCCGATCGGCGCGGGCCCTCGCACCCCCCCTCCCTCCCACCCATAGAGTATATCTTGGCTGTTTTTGGCGCCTGTCTCGAGCAGGAGGAGCTTCTCCCCCACAGGACGCACTCCTGCAAACAGCCACACTAAGCAGTGGTCCAGAGCCAGCCTCCCCCCCCTCCACCTCTCTTTCCGCCCAGTGACGAAACGCCGAATATAAAAACGCTCACCTGGGGACCCATGATCTCCGACGATGTGTTTTTTTCAGTCCGGGGGTCTTGCCTCGATCTCGGCCTCCAGGGCATACCTTCGTGCTCGTTGGATGCTCCTGCGCATCCTGGGGCGGGCGCCACTGGATGTTCTGTGTGCTCTGGCTGGCGGCGGGTCTCACGTTCTTGGGGGATGCTCTTATGGCCTGGGCCCGACTGTAGGTCGTGTCGAATCCTAGGGCTGTGAAGCTCCTGGTAGGACGTGTGGCGTGTTGGAGGCCCAGCTCGCGGCAGTCGTGCGACGGTCCTGACGGATGGCATGGCGGCGCGTGCGAGGTCACCATGCGCCCCCTACAGGTGCCTGTCTGCCCTGCTCCTCTCTCGCGCTCTCTCTCTCTCTCGCTGTCTCTCCCCTGATGGGCCTGTTTTCCACCACCACCACCATGAGTTGAAGGGGGGGGTCCTCCTCCCCCTCTTCTTCCTCCTCCTCCTCCCCATCCTCCACCTCCTTCCCCCCTCCAACTCATGGTGGTGGTGGAAGACACGCCCATCATCCATGTCTTTGTCTTCTTCTTTTTTGTTCTCTCTCTCTCTCTCTCTGGTCGGTGCTCACACGCGCCGTGGCGGCCTTCGCGGTGCGTGCGGGCGACGGCGGCGCCGTGCTGCCTGCTGGGTCCGGGCGCAGTACCGAGGATGGGCAGCCTAGGGTCCCAGCTGCTTCTCCTCGCATTCTTCCAGGTTGTTCGCAGGGGAACGATCGGACTTGCAAAGGTGTTGTCACAGCAGATGTATTGCATCCATTCGCAGCAAAGCCAGTGCGAATGGGGGGCGCGTGTTGGTGTAGCCCTGCGTGGGACGCTTTTGATGCTCTGGCTCTGGTGCGGTTCTGCATCCAGAATTTCGTACCTGTGGGCTGTTTGAGCCTCCAGGACTCCGGGGAGACGTATGTGCATGCAGCCGGGCCGCTGTTGAACACAGCTTACCTTGCGGTGCTGCGTGGACATCTAATTGATGCTGCGTTGCTGCTGGATGGAAAAAGAACAATCAGGAGGGGAACCATCGCACAGACATAATAAATCGTCGACCCCCAGAAAGTATGAGGAACTATGGGACGCGGGGGGCAAGACGAAAACCAAGAAGATATGGTTTTTGTTTGGGAATCCTGGGATGTGTGTGTGTGTACTTATTTGCGTGTCCCTGGGCCCCCTCCAGCAAGAGGATCGACGAAGAGTATGGCCCGCGCTGCCTTCTATATCTGCTGCTGCGCGCGGTCGCTGGCCGAACACCGAGGCCAGCCTCTGCACCAGACTGGTCTTCGTGCTCTTCTGTTCCTTGTTCTGCCGATCGGCGCGGGCCCCCACCCCCCCCCCCTGTGGTCCCGCTTTGCTTGCGTTAAGTAAAGATATGTTTGTATCAACATATAACTTGGGACTACACTATTTTAAGTTATGCCATGTTGGTGTTGTGCAGAAGTTATTATATACTATGCTATGCTGAAGCTGCGACATGCTGAAGTTAAGCTGACGCTGTGATTTGCAATGTGCACACGCGAACGCATGCACAAACAGGAGGAGGAGGAGGAGGAGCACAAGTTATCCGTCGCAGTAGCGCGTGTGCAAAATCGAGCGCCATGCGACTACATATCGCAGTAGCCTTCCTTATCTTCCTCCTCCTCCTCCTCCTCCTCCTCCCTCCTGATCCTCCTCCTCCCCCTCCTCCTCGTGGTCTTGCTCCTGCTCGTCTTCGTTGTCCTCCTCCTCGTCTTCGTTGTCCTCCTCATCCTCGTCTTCGTTGTCCTCCTCCTCCTCCTCGCCCGCCCCCCCCATCAGCCCGAACGGCCCCCCTTGGGGGCTCGCGGCGCCGTCGGCTCCGAGACCATCGGCCAGGCGCCGAGGGGAGCGGGGCTACGACGACAACGACGACCGATGGCGACGATCGACGACGGACGACGATGTCCGATGCCGACGGCCGTCGATCGACGATCGAGCGACCGACGACGGCGACGATCCTCAAGTCCTCGTCCTCCTCCTACTGCTCATCCTCCCAATTCCCTCCTTCTCCAGGTTCTCCCTTCTCCACTTCCTCATCCACCCCTCGATTGTCCTCATTCTCACCGTTAATCGTCCTCCTCATTCTGCCCGTCTCCCTCCTCCTACACCTTCTCCTCCTCCTCTCCCTCATCCTCCCCCCCTCCCCGTCCCCCACCTCCTCCTCCATCTCTCGTGCCCCTCATGCTCTTCCTCCTCCTGCTCTTCCTCCTCCTCCGCTTCCTCCTCCTCCTCCTCCCCCTCCGCCCTCGTTCCGGCCTCGTTGCCTCGCCCCTTATCGGCCGCCCTCCTTCGCCTCCCTCCTCCCTTTCCCTCTCCCCCCCCCGCCCCTCCATCTGCAACTGCGCCGCCTCGGCAGGCGATGTCGACTCCAGCGCCGAGGATCGGCGGGGCGGGGACAAACAACACACACACACATACCCATAGCTAGAGGGGTCCATGGGTTCGTGTAGTCGGATGGGGGTCCCCCCTCCAACGGGCCCCAGGGTCCGACAACCCGCGCCCGTGCCCATAGCCAGTCTTCCCCCGAACGACCCCCGTATGGGTATGGGTGTGTGTTGCTCGTTCGTCATATCACACCTCTGCAAAAAAACATTTAGCAACAGCTGCGGCTACAGTCAGCGCGAACTCACGAGGATACCCAGACGAGAGTTTGAGGTCACGCTTCTGGCCATTCACCCAGGTGCCGCGTTTCCACCCTCGACCAGATGTTTTTTTGCTGCCCTGCTTGGTCAAAGTAACGTGCTTGCCACGGCCACGATGCAACAACCAGTCCTGTTTTGAACGAACCATGGCCATGACGCTCGGGGGGAAGGTTGCATACAGTTCCAGCGGCTTCGCCGACATGTGGTCGAATGCGCCAAGCCACGTCACATAACGATCGGCCTCTACCAAATCAAGCGAACAACGAACAGATGGAACGAAATAGAGCAAGCTGTTCATCGGCTGCTCTGTGGCCATGTACACGGACCGTGCAGCAACAAACGGCAGGATCCACGACCTGCCCTCCCGCTGCACGCGACGCCACGGGGCAGCTAGAAATAAGGAGACGAGGAGAAGATTGAAAAGGGAGAGGCGGGGGACGGCGAGAGGAAAAAGGAAGAAGAAGAAAGGCAGAGGGGAGGCGCAGTGAGGAGAGGACAGAAACCACAGAACAGAGAGACAGGAGAAAGGCGGGGGAGTGGAGAGAGGGAGAGGGAGTGAGAGATACAGAGAGAGAAAGAGAAAGAGAGAGAGAGAGAGAGAGAGAGAGAGAGAGAGAGAGAGAGAGAGAGAGAGAGAGAGAGAGAGACAGAGAGAGAGAGAGAGAGAGAGAGAGAGAGAGAGAGAGAGAGAGAGAGAGAGAGCAGGAGTAACATCGATGCGATATTGATAGTGCGATCGGTCGTGAGATCGATCGTGAGATCGCCTGTGGGATCGATAGTGGGATCATTCGGGTGTTCGATCGTGAGATCGACTAGGCGATCCCACGATCGATCGTGAGATCGCTTGTCCCTTCGCGTTCTCCTTCCCCCGCCCGCCTGATCCGTTCATTTCCTTCTCCTGATCCACCTCTTCATCATTTTTGTCGTGCGCCTCCTCCTCCTGCTTCTCACTTCTTCCATTTCGCCCTGCCCTTTCTACGTTCTGTCCCTCCCGCTACAATAGAGCTGCGCAGTGGTTCCCTTCGGCGACGTCCGAGCGATTCGTGTTACCAGTGGTGTCCTCTCGGCTCCGACGAGTATGATATCGGCACATGTCTAGCCACGAGCTGCACTGTGGAGATATCCAAACGCTGCCGCTAGTGCCGACCATGGCGATGACACACATGCAGTATAGGAGCCCCACGAGGCAGCACACGTCCTGACGGGCGTCGTGGCCCCTATCAATAGAAATAGCTGCCATGCCGAACGTGTTCCTGCAATGCGAAGTCACCGCCGATGAGCCAGAGAAAACCTCGACGAAAGCGAGGCGCCGAGGAATAGCGTGCAAAATGCTCAACAACTCACGCTCGGCACCTGCAATCATACTCGCACTGTGGGCCCAGGAAGCCCGTGCAGGGACGCCAGAAGATATCAGCGATTCTGCCGTTGAAGTAGCCCAGCCCATAGCATATTCATCCACCAGCGTGGGGGTGGCAGCCGCTGGCGCACATAGCAGGGCGCACAGGATCACGCAAACCTTGAAATAAGAGACCGCCATCGCACGCTCGGAATCCACTGTGACAGTTTCATGCACCCTTGCAAATTCATT